GCGCTTTGGCTGCGTCTGTTGGACGTGCTGGCGTTGTTGGAGGATGCGCGCATGCTGTGGGCGGATGCTGCGCGTTTCATGGGAGAGACCGTGGATGCGAGGCGTGTGAGGGGACGACCTCGAGGCATGCTCTCAAAGTCCTCTTCATCCTCTTAATGGCTGGATCGAGAGAGAGCGGGCCATGTCGAGTCGGCACCGCCTGAGCAGCCAATGATTGGTGATGGGGCAGTAGGTTCGAATGACTCTTCTCTACACCGTGGTCATAGCAAACACGGAGAAACTCAAGCAGGCGCGACATATACGTTTGTACTGTTCTGCTCTACTTTCACGTTTACTTCTCACTTGTTCACCTCCGCGGCAGTGTCCCTTATCAACTTTCTATTGTCTCTACGTCACTTTTCCTATCGTGCTTATACTTGGTAATGTCCCCCTGTGTATAGTAACATCACGTAAGAGCGAAATATCCACATGATCATTGAGGGATTTCTACTACATTCAAGTCGTCGGTGAGTGCTGTTCCTCTGAGTCATCTGGGCAATAATGATGAGCGTAACCAAGAGGCCTCTCAGGCTGAAGGGGGATACAGTAAAAAAACGAACAAATGAAGGACAAGTTGTTTAAACAGTTCGTTGCAAAAGCAAAGAATGACACAGGACAGAGAACATGAAAACAGAACGTGGCGTAGTGTCAATAGATAGGTGCTATGATGACAGTCAGCAAGTCCGAAGTGATAAATACGGCATGTCGCCGGGAATAATACATCGTCCAGTAGTCGGTGCAGTTGGATCAATGTTTTGACGGTACACAATGGGTCTGCCGTCGTTTGTCATGATGAACGACTGTGAGTTCGCTCCTGTCCGTCTGGTCACATCGGCGCCGGCAAACTCGCACCAATATCCTGGCCTTCTAGTATTCTCGACGAGTGTTCTGGTCGAGAAGACGTCGACAACGAAGGCGCATGTCTCGAAGACTGCGTATTGGGCGCATTCGGAAATGCATCTGGGGGTGCAGACTGCGTTCCGCTGGCCGGGGGATCCACGGGGCTAGTGGGTGGACGGAGTGAGCTGTACTGCGGGGGAAGCTCGATCACCTCCTCCGCATCGGTGTGCAAGATGAATCGCGGAGACGACTGGTAGTTCGACGTGCCAGCCATGGCGGCTTTGCGGCGTGCGGCCGAAGTCGCACTCGGGGAGCGTGAAGCGGAAGTGGTGCTGCCACGGTAGCCGGGTATAGGTGCAAACTCGATTGCGGATTCCGTCGCCATCGATGTTTGTCGCGAGTGCGTCGGCGCAGCGAACGGATCTGGCAAGGAAAGCATGGTGGACAAGGGGTCGCCGTGATCGTGAACGCTGCCGCCACGAATGCTGCCACCACGGATGCTGCCACCATGTACGCTGCCGCCACGGATGCTGCCGGTGTGCATGAGGCTGACGGTAGAGTGTGGCGCAGTGCGGTTGTCGGCGGCGCCATCAGCAGGATTGAAAAACGGGTAGGGGTGAATTGCCGCCGGGGGCATGTCATCGTCCGTCTCGTTTGACAGATCGACATCTTTCTGCCTGCGGCCAGTTCGGTATCCATATTCGCCGTCCGCGAAGTATTGCACATTGCGACGGCGTCGAAGGAGAAAGAACAGGAATGCTCCCGCGATGACACCTGCCCCGACCATGCCTCCGACAACCGCGCCCGCGATAGTACCGCCAGATGCCGTAGACTTGGTGGAGTCAGATACGGCAGTGGATGTGACAGAAGCTGAAGTCGAAATATTTGCGGATGTAGCTGAGGGATGGTTTGCGACTGACGATGGGTACGAGCCGGTGAGGCAGGAATTGTCATCAGAGATTCCGACAAGATCGATCTGGGTGCTTCCGCCTGAGCGTCCTTCGGAATCCGTCATGAAGAACAGAAGGGACGTCCCGGATGCGAGATCGGCAGTCCAGTCAAATTCAGTGTTGCCTTCAGGCGGATTTAGGACAAAGGTCGTTCCGCCAGGAATAACTCCCTACAGATAATTTGTTCAAAAGCCGACTGAAAAGTCTTAGCTCATGCTTACTGTAATATTAATCGGCTGCACTGCTCCTGTGTATGCAGAGAACGAATATTCACTGTGGCGTCACCATGTTAGGGTCATTCAAGGTAGCCAGAGACTCGATAAGTACTGACCGGCATTGATCCAGAGCCATATCAGTGTCAAAGTAATAATCCACAGCTAGAAAAGGAGCAGAACCGTCAAAGATCAGAACGTCTCGATGATCAGGAGCATCATGGCGCACATTGAACAGTAGTGTTACAGCTCGAGCTCCGGGCTTCTACTGTTATAATCTCTGATACACCGCCCGTCCCAAAACCGCTCGCGTCCGACATGATAGCGAGCACGGATGTGTTCTCAGCCACCGTCAGCTGCGTTTTGTATGATCCCTCCCCATTGCTGTAGCTTGACGAAGGAATGGAATAGATGTACGGCCTGTCGTATTGCTGGACACAACAGCGACTAATTGTGAGTGCATGTTTTGGCATTGAAATTACACACCGGGATCAATGTGAGCTCATACGGAGCTTGCCCGCCTGTTTCGGCGCGAGCGACTCAGTGTCTTTTGTCTTTCATACGGATGTCGTCACACACCTGACCAGGACACCGCAAAATCCCCGCATTGTGTCGCCTCACCATAAGTAATCGAAGGTGAAATTGGCTCCATACGCTAGCGATGTCCAAAAGACTATTATGGTCGACAGAAGCCCGAGGCGCGCCTGCATGACGGGAAGATTAATGTACCGAGAAACAATTCAACTCCAGAGACGTCCGCGAAAGCGTGGAATGTCCTCGACCAGGTTTGCCTTGTGAGGGAGCGACGGCGAAGACCTGGTCGATGATATGGGTAAAGGGAGCGGTCGCAAGGGACGCATTCACGAAATGGGCGGTGAGATCGGAGGCGCTGTCGGCTCGGTCGGGCGCTACTCGCTACTCATGCCAGAGATGCTGCGGCCTCGGCATCAATTTGAGACCAGAAATGCCGCTGAGTTGAATTTCCGCTCTCTCCTCGGCCTCCAATGGCCAGTGTGCACTTGTTCATGAAGGATATTTCTACATTTTAGAAATTTGACAAAACGAGAGGTCTCAAATTCCGAATTACACCAGGGCGCGAGAAACAACACGTCGCCGTCAAGGCTACAATCAACCTATCACTGGCGGGCGAACACTCCTAGCATCAATCTCCAGGGACTCACAAGGAACATCGACAGGGCTTGATACACGAGGCCCAGCATTCTCCTCATCACCCGCCGCTTTCTCCGAGCGTGGACGGATTCCGGTGCATCATCTTCATCCTCCCACTCCGATTCGCTGTCTTCGTGAACCCGTTGCGCCTCCACATTCGTGTACGCCTTCCAGGCCTGAGGATCATATCTGGCAAGGAAAAAATCAGCGCGCGGCTGGACGGGCGCGGTTCCGACTCGATGTCTGCCATAAAATGACGGCGTTCTAGGCGCGATGAAAGAGCGGAAGGTAGCTTCGGTCTCAGAATTGAATGGTAGTCTAGGAATAGACCCAAGCACAGGCGCGCTAACTGCGGGCGCGGCACTAGAAGACATCGCTACGAGAGGATTCGGGAAAAGCTTCGCGTGGTACGAAGAGTGCCCTGATTGGTCGGGGAAGACACCAAGATTGGAAGTATACACATTATGCAATCCCGATGCCAGTGTCTCAACCGACTGTGGTTGCGGGATCGCATACATAGGCTCTTCGCGACGATCGGTTCTACAGGACGAGAGTGGGGGGCCAACAGGCGACATCTTGCGGTCCTCGGTAGCAACATGCTGAGGCCCTGGATAAGGCTGCGGGTAGAACGACAGTGGCACTACTTCCGAAATGGTCTTGAACCGCAATGAATTGCTTCTAATGGTGCAAGGCGCTTGAGCGGACGACAGCGACGATGCACCATGATACTCGTTGCCTTTAGTCAGATAAAAGCCGCCAGCCGCAGCTGTATCGCGAGCAGAGTGAGAACGAGCATCAGGGTACTTCCTGGCTTCTGCGTTGATTGATACTGTGCTGTCGTCTGTCCGAGTGGAGGGCAAGTACGGAGAAACTGACCGTTCGATCTCCGCCAGCGTCTCTGTATTAGCAGCAGGAATGAGAAGTTGTGGCCCCGATAAAGGCGTAGCATGAACCGCATGATGAAGAGGAAGCGTAGGACGGTCAGACGAAGCACGTTTCTCTGTCATGTTAGAACGGTGACCAGCCGCAATTCTGCCAGAGACGAAATCACGCTGATGAAAACGAAGAAAGTCTGTCGATGTCCCAGGCGCTTTTGACTGCCCAGACGTGAAGGGGCTCTCCGACCCAGGACTAGCCGTTGGCAGAAGGAGCAGAGAAGTGGCCAAGGGTGCAGTATTTGTGGCAGCGGCGGGAGACAGCGGAGGAGACTGTTCGGGCGCGAAATCAAGCGGAGTCATCATATCGAGACGAGCAGAGGACCCAGCAGGGATGATTGCATCACTTGGACCAAGTTCTGTACTTCGAGCGACTGAGACAGAATGAGGACTTCTGTAGAGCATGAAAGCAGGAACTGAGCCTGAAACAGGTATCCTGGATCCGCAGGCACGAGGGGCTCTCATGATACGTGATGAGGTATCTGGGGTCATAAGGACCTTACAGGACCTTGTCGATGGTGACTGATTAAGGCGCTTTGACGAAGAAGGTGAGAGCGCAATGAGACCCAGACCAGAACTAGTGGAGCTATGCAGCATGTCTGGACCTGCTTGAGAGATATCAGAAGGAAAGGTAGGCGATCCACGAGGCGTGTTTAACATTCTTCGGTGCAGGAGGAAAGTCCGTCTCTTCATGTCAGGCGACAAGGTAGATTGAATGGGACTTCTGGACCGCAAGGCGTTCAGCAGCTCACGGTCTGCAACAAGTTGATCGACATTTGACTGCAGAACAGCCTGACAGGCCTTGAGCAATAGTATCGGCGTTGTCCTATCTACTGGATTCCTGCATACAATAGATTAGTTCGCCTTATATGACATTATGGACGCGCTCTTACGGGCTCTCCGAACCCGATGCAGCGTCATCGCGCGTGTCTCCCAAACGTGAGGAACTTGGACGCGGAGATGGCCAGCTGCAGATGTTGATGGGCCTATTCCTTCCACCAAGCCTGTTGGGACGAGGACGGGTAGAAGAACGATGTTTTCTGCGAGACAAGCTATTGTAGGAAGCGGAGGCATGTACTGCAGCGCTGAGCTGTGCGCGCTGCTTGGACGCGCGTTTCCCCGTTCTTTCTGCTTCGCGGAGCTCCCTGCGTGTGGGTTCTTTCGGCCTGCCGTACTTGGCCATGTCTGCGCCAGGCGGAATGGATTCTAGGACATAAAGAGCGTCGCTGCTAAGCGAGATGGCACGACAGCGTGGTGTGACTTGAACCGCGACGCGCCTGGCTCCCAGTTCGTTTGATGCCGCTGCATGCCGGTGGCTGAAGCGCGTCCATATTTACGAAATACTACTAATACACTGCTCGCAGCTCACGCTGCTCCCATTTCCTCCCATGGGACTCCCCCCGCCCGTCTGGACGCGTGAGCAGGTCGCAGCACGCATTCTCGCTGGCGAAACGCTTGTTATCGTCGATAACCAGGTCGTCCGTGTTCCCCAGTCATGGCTCACCGCGCATCCCGGTGGCGTGCTCGCCGTTCTCCACTTCGTAGGACGCGATGCCTCTGACGAGGTGCACGCATTCCACTCGGTCGAAACGCTGAAGAGAATGCAAGGGTATGTGATCGGGCGCATACAAACGGACGGCGACGGCTGGGACCCGTTGCTACCGCCCATCATGAGCGGATGGGTCAGAAAACCTGGGAAGGACGACAAAATGGAATGGTACAACGAGGCTAAACCTCTTCATCCTTCAAAAAACTTTCCTTCCGTATCGGCATCCGAAATGCTACTTGTTGAAAGAGATGAATGCTCGTCTCATGGACCGTCCCTTGCGGATTTGCAGCATCCCGAGACACCCTTGTCCATTGAGCTGCAGATGCGGCACTCAAGGGCATATACAGATCTCCACCAACGTGTCAAAGATGCCGGTCTCTATAACACGCCTTACATCAAAGGCTATGGACCTGAATTCATACGATATACTCTACTTGGCACCCTGTCTGCTATCCTCTACATGAAAGGATGGCTCATTCCGAGCGCGTTCTTCCTCGGGTTAATGTGGCAGCAACTCACCTTCTTCGTACATGATCTTGGTCATCTCGGTGTCACGCACAACTGGGTTGTCGATCGTCTGACTGCCATATTCTTTGCCGACTTCATTGGCGGTCTGAGCGTTGGATGGTGGGTCAACGTGAGTATTTCTTTAGCGCGTCTGCATACTGGTTTTGACTGATATATTGGCGCACTATCAGAACCACAACATACATCATCGTGAGTCGTGTCTTCCCCGCTCGAAGTCGCAAAGGAGAAGCTCATCGTTATGACCGTGTAGTCGTCACGAATCACCCCACTCAGTAGGCGACTATATTCATATCGCAGTATGGAGCTAACAGAGCGTGCGTTAGCGACCCGGACATTCAACATCTACCCTTCTTCGCCATCACCCCTGTGTTCTTCCAATCACTATGGTCAACCTACTACAAACGGGTTTTAACCTTCGACATCTTCGCCAAGATCTTCATACCTCTCCAGCATAAACTGTTCTACGTCGTTTTGAGCCTTGCGCGCTTCAACCTATATGCCCTATCATACGGTTACTTGGCAAAGACGGCGTTTGAGCCAAGGCGCGCTATTGGCGGCCGCTGGTGGTGGTGGACGGAAATATTCTGCCTTGGCCTGTACTACTGCTGGTACATTGCGGTCCTCAGAGGCTGCGGTTCGTGGGGCAACATTTTGACATACCTGCTTGTCAGTCATATCGCTGCCTGTCCGGTTCACGTCCAGGTAAGTTGCGTAGAATTGTATATCACGTCTCAGGGACTAATCGGCACCGTCCTAGATTGTACTCTCGCATTTCTCGCGTTCGACGGAAGATGTGGGTGTTACCGAGTCGTTTTTCGCACGGCAGCTCCGCACCACGGTCGATGTGATATGCTCGCCTAGAATCGAGTTCATTCACGGAGGACTCCATTTGCAAGTGACGCATCATCTGTTCCCTCGCTTGCCGCGACACAACTTGCGGAAGGCGAGCTTGATCGTGAAAGAGCATGCCAAAGAGCTGGGACTTGAATATGCCGAGTTCGGTTTCGTGGAAGGCAACGCCGATGTGAGAGGAGTTCTGAAGTCGGTCGGGGACCAGTTGAAGATTGTAGGGATGGTAGCAGATGCGAATATCCAGGACGCCATCAAGGGCTCATAGACTCACTTCTATGTACAGCGCACACATTTGGATCTCGTATGCGTATATAACTCTCCACTCCATTGATGTCAGTTGTGGTAGCAGAATCATCATGGCGGGAAGCCGGTATGTTGCACGGTGACCTAGCGGAAGTACATGGCGCTCGGAAGGAGACGCAGCCAGAAACATCGCATAAAACATAACATGCAATAATCCCGAGCGTAACCAGATTTTGTATACATAGGTGGTGCGAGTTGCATGGCTGCAAGTATGAAAAGGGAGGGAGAAGAAGAAACGCGGTCGGCTGTTCACTTCTTCTTGTTCGCCTCCTCCTCGGCCTTCTGTTGAATTCAACAGCGAGGTGTTAACAGTGCGCTGACAACCAGCGAAAATCGAACAAACCTTCGCTTCCCGCACCTTGCGCCTGCCCTCGTAGCGGGCAAAGGCGCGCTCGTTGCGGAGAGTGCGATATGCCTGGAATTCGCGCTCCTCCTCGGTGATCTTCCGAGGTGCCTCCAGCACGAATGGGTCGGGAAGCGGAAGATGCCCGCGAGTGGTGGGTGCGGAGAGCTCCTCGCCCTGAATATGACTGTCAGACGCCATGTATGCAAGATTTCCCGGTCATACGTACAGTGGAATCGCCCTTCTTGGGCTTCTTCGCCTTGCGAGGGAAGACAATCAGCCGCGCCTTATACACCTTCAAACGCTCCACGTTGAGCGCCTTGCCCTCCTCGCTCAGGTTTCTCCTCCGGTGGTCGACGACAATGCCAACACCCCGGGCCTCCTTCTTGCTGATACCCGCCTCCTTGATCTCAGCAAGGGTGAAACCTCGGCCTTCACGGACCTTCCTGTTGTATCGGACGGTCTGGGCGCGAACGGCGGGTCGGAGAAGGGACAGCGGTCGGACACCAAGGGCAGCAGCCTTGATTTTGCGAGCTTGCCGGCGACGGAGCTTGCGGCCGGGCTGGTCGAACCAGGTGCGGACACGGGTTTGCCAGTCCTTGCGGAAGTGGTTCTGGTGGAGGACTGCAAGCCGAGGGCAGATAAGCAACTGACTCCAAACGCGTCCCAAAGTTTGCAAACGGACCGTTGTTATGCTTGAGACCCATGGTGTAGTCTAAGGAACGACGGAGAATGTCAGCTGCGAATTCTGCCCACGTAGACCGGAAATCTCGGAGTGTCGCTACATCCAACCTTCGAGCGGTCGATCCAGCACTTTCTCCACCGAACTCTGCCAAAATAACCAGATATACCACACAAATGGAGGTCATAGCGACACCCTAGCACATTTCCAGAGCGTGGAGGACGTACGTACCTTGAGGCGGGTTGAATTGACGAGCGACGGCCTGTACACAGAGATTCGGTTCGCTGCTTCGGCAATGCGCGGGGGCGTTCTATCGGCGCCTAAATCGCTGAGCGCGTCACTTACTGCACGTGGCACTTCGGCCGTTGTGGCATGCGCCTTAGGCGTGTTTTACGGACGTCCACGACCCACGTTTCGTGTCGCTGTTGCACTCTATTCTACCATCATCGTCAATGTACGTTGACGTCTCGAGAATTGAAAACAAAGCATGTGTGATTCATTTACGACCGTCTACTCTTGTCTTCACGGCATCAGCCGTATATCGGGCGTATGTAAACTGCAACATCTCAAGGCAATTCTTGAGGACGCTTGTGGAAACTTCGATTGGTAGTGACACCCGCAATTCACGGATAGTCCCTGCTCATGCTGACATGCACTCGATGTCCGTCTTTCGCGGTCCCTCGATCGGACACGAGAGGACACGAGTTTGTCCAGATGTTCTCGTCATCAGAGATAGCAGCAGTGCCGCTGCACGCGGCCTCATGGGGGCAGTTCTTCTCAGGTTCGTTCTTCCGTGATTTTCGCAACAGTCTACAGCATTTTACTCAGGATGGATTGCCACGTTGCAGGCGATTGAAACGCTTGCACCGCGTTGGGTAGAATGGGGCGAGGATTCAGCTTCTTGACCATCAAAAAGTGCGGTCGCTTGCTTGGAAGACGCGATGCGGAACCGATATCTGCCATGATAGATCTGGCACGGATACATATACAGGGCTCGCAGCACCGGTGGATATATTTACATTCGAGATTCCTCCGCAGAGCTGAGCTTTGATCACAAACGGAGTACCTATCGGAATGTCGGCGGTTTTACACCTCAACCCACCCACCCGCGCAGAACACATTGGTTCCCTCCTTCGTCCCGCTAAGCTCATTGCGAAGCGGACGGACTATGAGGCCAACAAATGTTCCGCTGAAGAGCTTCGCGTTGTCGAAGACGAGAGTATCCCCGCTGTTGTGAAGCTTCAGCAGGAGGTTGGCGTGAAGACCATCACCGATGGCGAGTACCGGAGGTATATCATACTCGTTTCACTATCAGTGCATGTTCTTCTTTCTGATTCTGCAGAGGTGCATTTTACCAAGGCATATTCGAGAAACTCGAAGGGATGACCATCATGCCTACTCGTCAGTGCGGTAGTTCAGTCACGATAATGTGTCCCCCCTGACTTATGATCCAGGCTCGTTGACTACTTTCAAGGTCGATCCAGGAATCTCGTCCCTGCCGGTCGAATGCTCATGTTGCTCATGTACAGTCATACATCCCATACGTTGCAATATTCAAAGCAATGGGCCTCACGGAGTATACATCCATTTACTGCACTGTGAGGAGGTCACATCTGGCTCGGTCCCTTCTTAAGTACAAGGCTGAGAGCGATATAGGGCAAGATCAAGAGGGCTAAGGGCGTTCATACCGAGGACTTTAAGTTTCTCAAAGAGCTAGTGGCACCAGAAGTGAGTGCCACGACGCATCGTTCGCATGCCCAGAGTCCGCCTTGACATATATCTCATAGGATGTGAAGTTCTTGAAAGTGACCATTTGTGGCCCAACGTGGATGCATTTGCGCCATGGTCCTGAATATACTTACAACCACAGCGTTTATAAGACCGATGGTATGTGTGAACACGTCGTACGGGCTCAAGTCACTAATTCACGACGGTTCCAGCCGAATACTTTGCCGACTTGATCAAAGCCTATCGCGAAGAAATAGACGAACTCTATCAGCTCGGATGCAGGCATATTCAGTTCGATGATCCAACATTCTCCTTCTTCTGCGCCGAATCCATGATCGATGGAATGAGAGAAGCCGGCGTGAATCATGAGGCGCTGTTGAGCATGTACATCGATGTCTACAATGACATCCTGAAGGATCGGCCAGCAGACCTCACCGTTGGAGTACACACATGCAGAGGCAACTACAAGGTAAGCCACCATGTTTCTGTAACGATTCGCATCTACAGTGATGTTATGTGAAATAGGGTATGCATTACACCGAGGGTAGTCTCGATCGTATTGCGGAAAAATTCTTCCGCGATCTTCAGGTCGATGTATACTACGTACGCGCATCTTCTGCCTCAACTCCACTCTCTAGTGCTAGAATGGCATGGCTGATCCGTCACGCAGTTGGAATACGATACCGAGCGCTCGGGTGGTCTGGAGCCCTTGCGATATCTGCCGACCAACAAGGTGGTAGTTCTGGGCCTCGTGACGTCAAAGTCCGAGAAGGTGTGTACCCCGTTTCGCCACCGCGTTATACGAGGTTTCCGACTTTCCCGGTGGGTTCCTACTGACAATCGCACGCTAGCTTGAAGATATTGCTTCGCTGAAGAAACGAGTCGAAGAGGCGGCGGAGATAATTTCTCAGGGGCACCCTAAGCGATCCAAAGTCGAGGCGCTCAACCAGTAAGTTCAAAGGTCTCGTGTCCTATTCAACGTCTGAAGGGCTTGGCAGGCTGTGTCTCAGCCCGCAATGCGGCTTTGCCTCGGTATTTGAAGGAAACCCGATTAGCGAGGAGGTTGGTGGCACTTTTAGTATGCTCCTGTTGTGCAGGTTACTGATGGCCAGTGGCAACGAATAGGGAGAGCGGAGCAAGCTGGAGCTGGTCGTGGCGGCAGCCAAGCAAATCTGGCAGTGATTGGTTTGTGCGATTCTTAGCGACTCCGAGGATGGCTACGGTGGAGTGGGATTGTATTGGATCATGAATGGGGCCCACTTCACGGAAGAACGGGGCCGCCCGGATGTTCTGTACGCTCGAGTATGATATACGATGCGCTTGTATGACGACGAATGTTTCTGTGAGATCAAAGCGTGACCCTAATCATCTGCATCAATTATTTGAAGAGTCAGGAGGACAGCCTAGGGGATACAGAGGATCTAGGGAGCTGAGCACGAGCCTAGACAAGCGCCTAGGGTGGCGTAGGCAATAGTACATCGCAAGACAAATCGCTGGCCTCTACTTATCCGGTTGCTCAGCGTTTTCTCCCCTCGCCTCTTCCCCTCCTTCCACGTCGTCTGTCGTGCTTGATTCCCCTCTGCGTTATCGATATCCGTACCGTATCTCTGTCAGCATTGATACCACGCGGCCATCACGCCTGTCGCTGGCGGAAGGTAAGTTGCCGAGAGTATCGCCTGACCGTCACAACTGCAATTAGTGCCTTTCTTCTAGTCATGCAAGTTGCCAAACCACGCCGCCACAGATCAAACTCCTCTAATCCCTTCAACGACCCTTCTTATCCCATATCTTCATTCTCCGCCTACGGCGTGCCGACCCTCACTAGAAACGCCCCCGTTCATCAATCAACTCATCGCCCCCCTCCACCTCCGCCCAAGGTCTTGCCCAAGTCGTCTGCCAGCGCCAGGAGGCCTCATACATCTTCCGGCACTCGCGAGCACGTTGTTGAAGCCGTCCGAGATACCGTCCAGTTGAGGAACATGGATCAAGCCCCTCGTACCAGAATCAACAGGAGCAACACTGAGATGCCTCCGTGCGTCTCCTCGTCATTATTCACACCATGCGTCTTCATTGATGCCTGTTCTCGTGGCTTCTCATTCATCCCATTTATGACATGAACAGACACCTTAGTTCAAGGCCATCGAATACGACGACCCGTCGGTCTCACTCGCAAGATTCCGGCATCAATGGTACGCTTGAGATGTCGAGGGCCGGAGGCCGCCCTCGCACAGGGTCGTCGGCGAAGAAGGGCTCCTCTCATGCCGATGTCATTGATAGGCTCGACTTCTCGGGTGTTGGTCCCAGTGTGTTCATTTTCCACCTGTAGTTGACACCGATAAGACTCAGATGGTCTTGTTCCTGCAGTGTTCCACCATGACGGGCCGTTTGACGCCTGTGCGCCCTCTCGCAATCGGCACCGCGCGAAGGCACCTATGATGGCATGGAGTACGGTCACTGACGCGGATAAGGAGGCTCTCGCCAATGCGCACGAGGTCCCTCACAACCAGGATGGACCATACCCTTCTCCCGATATATACGTTCCTTACCAGGCTCCCAAGAAGAAGCACGATGCTATCGCGGAAGCATGGGGAATGCACGAACCGGAGCCATTCGAGGACTTTTCAGCAGGCGGTGGTACGTCAAGGACCAACGGCGATTACTCGTCGTCGCGTAACGGCACTTCGAAGCATACGCAGGAACGTAAGCAACGCGATGAGAGACGCCCCGACGCTCATCGCCAGGCCTCTAAGCGAAGCCCGCTTCCTCCTCCTCAGCCGATTTTTGTCCCGGACGCGGACGGGGAACTCGTCTCTCAGCTCTCCCCAGAGCCCTCTTCGCCGAACGGAACACCCAAGCGCAACAAGTCAATCATGGGTCGCATCCGCAAAATGCGCGACTCTCCAAACATGCCCGTTGGATCGGACGATGACAACGTCTCCCCGACATCGTCCACTGAGAATTCTGCAGCCGCGCAATTCGCCCCGGGTCCTCACACCGCTCGTCCGACACACCGTCCTCAGAATTCTTTTTTGGGTCGGTTTGGGCG